TATCCCATTCTCCTTTTCATCACAGATAAAGTAGTCATTTATTTTTTAGTCATGAAACAAAAGTAGCTCTCTCCTAATCACTAACGTATTACCATTTCTTTTTTTTTCGGTACTAGGGATCGAACTCAGGACCTTGTGCTTGTAAGGCAGGTGGCAGCACCACTTAGCTAAGTCCTCGGCCCCACCATTTCTTTAATAGCAATTATCTGCTGTTAATCTAAAATTGTTTCATTTGCTTATTGTCTCTTCTCTTTAGAATGTAAGTAAGCTCTATGAGGGCAGAAACCTTGCCTGTCTCTCTCTTTTTTTTTTTTGTCTAATTCATTTTTTTTTTTTTGGTACTGAGGGTCAAACTCAGGACCTTGTGCTTGTGAGGCATGAGAGGCACCACTGAGCTAAATCCCCAGCCTAATTTATTATTGAATTGCTTAATCCCAAAATATATGATAGGTTTTGTTTTGTTTTGTTGGTACCAGGGATTGAACTCGGGTCCTTGCGCTTGCGAGGCAGGCAGCAGAAGCACTGAGCTAGATCCCTGGTCCTAAATTAATGAATTTAAATTGACTAAATGTGCATGATTGAAAAAGTAATTGTGATTATTAATTTCAGTCTTACTAAATCCTTTACCAATACTATTAACCTCTCTTTTTTGGTGCTCTTATCTGTTCTTTGGAATTGGTAGCTAAAGAATTTGATAAACAATCATAGATAGTAGGAGGACTAGCAAGGGGTCTAAATAATATGTACACTGATCAACCTCTGATTCTGACAATTTTGGGGGGGCGGATACTGGGGATTGAACTTGGGACCTTGTGCTTTTGAGGCAGGCTGTGGAACCAGTGAGCTAAATTCCCGGCTCTCAACCTCTGATTAATTTAACTGTTAAATTATGGCATCACTCTTAACACTTATCTGGATTCTTTCATATCAAATGAGTAAAAGGTTTTTCTGTTTTGGTTAAAGTCTGTTGTCTTATTTTTATGTCCACTTTGCCTGACACTTAATAATTCCTTAGTAATGTCTTTTGAATGAGTGAATGAATGAATGAATGATAGAAAGTCTAATCCCATTCTAGATTTTAGTGAATCTTTTATAATTATGATTCATATGCCTTTCTCATTTTTTGTTTCTAGCAACACTTACTCTTTGTCATTAGGAACCTAACAACAGACCCTCATTGTAATTGTACAGGACTTTAATTCCTTACTTAGAGTTGGACCCTGAACATGCCCGATCTTCTCTAATTCCTTACTTAGATTTGGGCCATCTTATTAACATCAGTGGGTTACTAGAGAAATGATCACATCATAATCAGATTCAGAGAATTGATTCTGTAACCCTCAGTGACAGACTCCATCTTTATTTTATTTAAAAATAATATATATAGAATATCTGTTTGGTTTTTTTATTTGCACATTGAGCATTTTAGGATCTACCTCTGGCTCTGACACAATATTTAGCACAGACTTTTTGTTGTTGTTTCTTTGTTTGTTTTTGGTACCGGGGATTGAACTCAGGACCTTGCGCTTTCAAGGCAGGTGGCGGCATCACTGAGCTAAATCCCTGGCTAACAGACTTTTTGAAATGACTTTATTTATTTATTTATTTTTCTTTTGGTACTGGGGATCAAACTCAAGAAAATGACTTTAAGTATTAAGAATAATTCTCTAAACCTTGCTTTTTCTTAAGTTCTCTCCCAGCAATCAGATAACTTTCTCTTTTGTGTAAATCCTAATTTTTTGTCATTTATGCATTCTGGTTCCTTTCATTGCATGAACCTTTTCCTCATCTGACCCTGACCTCTAGGACAGAGCCTTTTAATTTTAATGTGCCTTTGTTTTCCTGCTGTAAGATCCTTACTTACCTTGGCAATGCCTCTTAATGTGTGTATCCCTCTTCTGTCATTTATTGTTTATAAAATCCTTGAGTTTCATCCTGAAGAATAGATTGAGGAGGCGACACACTGTGAGCCCAGACACATGACCTGCTTGTCAAGCAGTAGAGTTACAAATGACCTGTGAGTTAAATTCTAGTGAGGGTGGTGTCATTATTCAAGATTTCACTTTTTGTCTATTCAGTTTATACTACAGAAATGTGTTGCTGTTTGCTTTTGAGAGTATGTCAGTTTGACCTCTCTGATAATTAACAATTTGAGTGTCAAATAGAAATAACTGATATTCTCTGTAGGTAGTATTTACTATAGCATACTGAATGAAGGAGATTTAAAAAAAAAGATACTAGCTGGGTATTTTTAAAATGAAGAGATAGATCATTCTTATAATTATTAAATAATTAAATTTTCTTTAAAGCAAGAATGATGGAAATGACAAAGGGCAATAGATTGAGGGAATGATTTAAGAACAGCTGTGGGTATTTAAGAAAGAAAACCTTCTTCCTCCCATTGTGACCTCCCTTTGGTGAAAATGGTAAAACAAAGGCTAGCAAATTGGGAAGGAAGCAGGAAATCCTAGTTAGTGACTGTCAGTTGAACATTTAAGAGAAATGAAAATACTTACTTGTTTTAGATTTTAATGCTTTTTCTCCCCAAGTTGTTTTCTTCCTTATTTTTCCCCCCAAAACATGATTTTTCATCCTTAAATCCTAGTAAATATGCCATTAAATGAAATTTGGAAGCCGTATATTATCATGTGATTGTGCAAAGCCAAGTTAAGGTTTGAATTTTATGGTTTGAAAGACACCATTCTAGAATTTATTTAATCACTTCCAATGCCAGTGTTGTCCCTCTTCTCAGCCAGGACCCTTTCTTTTCCCTAAATAAGAAGAAAACTGAAAATAGCCCCAAATAACAAAACCTAAATTAAAAAGTAAGGAATTCTGCCTGGTGCTTGTGTTGTATCTACGACCCTAGCCCTTGTTGTTTACTTCCTGATTGAAAATACGTTGGAGGACCTTTTTGAAATAAAATTTTTGTGATTATATTAGGAAAACAAGTTCTGGCACTAAGAATCAAAATTATGTCTAGCACAACAGATAGGAATTTTTCCAGAGATGAATTGCTTTCCAAAAATGATCTGAGTGCTCAGCCATAATGGGCTTGGTCTTTATTTTTATTTGCTTTTATTTATTTGTATTTTTTGTACTATGTTGTGGTTCTAGAAAGTGCTAAAAAAATCATGTATTTAAAACAAACAAACAAACCAGAAAAGCCCATTGCCCTGGGCTACGTGAAGAAAAATGAAGCTCTCGTTTCCCAGTACCCAATCATCAGCTTGAGCTGGCCTCTCCTAGGAACAGAATTTATTGAAGCAATTTATCCTGGCTAAATGTGATATAAATCTGTGTACACGTATGTACATACAGGGTCTCTTCTGTTACAGCAGTGCTGCAGCATCAGTTTCCTTCATAGTTAGACCATGTTCCTATAACATTGAAAGATGACCAAGAGGTCCCTTCTATTTTATGGGACACCTCACAATTTTAAACACTAATTAGTTGTGGAATTACTGATTAGGTAACCAGAAATACTGGTTTCTTTTTTTTCCGGTACCGGGGATCAAACTTGGGACCTTGCGCTTGTGAGGCAGACGCTGGAACCACTGAGCTAAATCCCCAGCCCAGAAATACTGGTTTCTAACTCCAGAGTTATTCTTAAGAGAGTAGGAGAGATACTACCCACCTGTCTTCTTCATTTTAAACGTGATTTTCTGATTACTAGATTCATTGTAGAATGTTAACATTTTATTTTAAGGCAGAGCTACAATTGACCATACATTTTGGTTTATCTCTCGGATGAATTTGAAATTTGGTTAGAGTTCTGAAGAAAATTGTTCCCTATCTTCCCTTTTTCACATTCTTTTGTATACCTTTCTCTCATAGATGGATATTTGAAAATATTGTCAGGAGTTCATTTTATTAAAGATTGTTTTTATCCCTCTATCCATTTTTCTTTTCCACCCTTCTAAAATACTGCTTATCTTTTAGGAATATTTTTACTGTGATTTGCATTTCTAATCCTTATTCCTCTCCCGTTTCTATTTTATTCTTAGTTGGAAAATGAGAAATTTTCCCAGCACATTCAAATTAGAATTACTGTTCTTTGACAAAGAATTTCTAACAACATTTCAAGACTTTAGCTTCAGTAATTTTAAAAAGTGTAAAATTCTGTTAAATTCTTCAGAGAAACAGAAGGGATGGATGGTGATGCCTTTTAGTGCCATTTCTTTTATCCCCTGCAGCAGCATACATCTGTTGGCTGCAAGAGAGCAGCCCAAGAACTCTGGCCGAGAGCAGCACAAACAGCCGGAACATATTCACCCAGTAAACCCCCAAAGAGTCGACATTTGTTTTATTGCTGCTTTTAAAAACCTAGCCATAAATAGAATCAGAGGGGGGAAGGGCACCGATATTTCTCCATTTGCCACAGGGACGATTTGTGGGGGACCAGGCTCCCAGTGGGGAGAGAAGGTTTTTATTTTTATTTTTTTATTAATGAAAATCATTTCCCATGTAGCCCAATAGGATGGGTGCTTTGTTTTCTTTGGCAGTAATCTGGGATAAACGACCCTTGCCAACAGTCTCGTAGTTTATACACTAGGGAGCCTGATTATGGCCCTGTAAAATGGAGCACCCCTCCTATAATCCCTTAATTAATTAAATGACAAATTTTGGTCTTCTCTAGTTCAGAAATATGGCTTCCGCATCACACGTTCAGTGGATTTATTGACATAGGGAACTGCACTGAGTTGTAATTCAGCAGACTACAGAAATGTGTTATATACTGCAACAGAAAGGAAAAAATCTAGCAAAGATTTGAATTTCCTTGACTATTTAAGTCTAAATTTTTCTAATTAAAAGTTTCAGTTGAGGAACAGCAGGTCATATGCCACCTGTCTAATAGTCTCCCCAAAGTAGCCTGTGTTTATACATTTGATAGATGGCATTCTTGGAACACCTGTTTCTAGGCTTGATATTTTTGAAGCACATTTTTTTTTTGCTCCAGTGTATTTAACATAACTTTTCCCTTACCTCCCCCTCCTCAGCTCCGCTCTGGTATATGAAATATGGGAGACGACAGACCGTTTGTGTGCAATGCCCCAGGCTGTGGACAGGTACGTTTACAATATACTTTATTGTGAATGTCTCGTTGTGAATCAAAGTGGCTGTTTTATCACTAAGGCAAAGAGTTTAAAGCCGGTATTTTACGTGATCACTGGAGGTAATCAGATCAGAGGATTTGCAGTGTGTAAATCCAAGTTATGAGGAAGTATAGGCACTCTACCATAATGAAATCTGCCTTGCTTTCTTCCATATTGTTATTCTACTGGTGTTTGTTTTCCAGCACAGTGTTGAAGAATACATGTTGCTCTCTCCCCTTCCTAAAGCTATCCATCTAAATACAAAGCAAGTTCAGAAATATCTTCTCAACTTTCCTGGGTATAAAAGTCTGCTTAACCTATTTGGAGAGGCAGCTGATAATGTACCTATTGATTGTGGACCCCTGGCTTTATAGTCTATTTCGATTTTTAAAATTAAAATAAAATGTTTCTTTTGACTGTTGGTTCAGAGAATCATTGTTAACAGCTAAGGCAGATATCTACAAATCCAACATAGAACTTGCGATCTCATAGCATTACATAAACATTTCCCCTGTCTGATGCTGTGAAATGCACTGTTCTCTGTGTTAACTGCCACATAATTGTTTGCATATGTGTATATATGTCAGATTTTTTCATCTTATGCTTTCTTAATAAAGTAATTTTGTTAAAATTGCCCTTTTTTTGTATTTTATTCATTCATTTTCCTAGATCTTCTCCAAGTACCATGATCCTCAAAGAATGAAAAAAGAAATACAAAAAAAGTTTTATCTGTCTTCATTAACTCATTTTATAACCTGCAGGGTAACTTTCTGTTCAGTTAGAAATATGTCATGTGACTGTCCAGTGACACTTACTGGTGGTATGTGAGATTGCAGACTAGTTCTATTAAACATTGTAAATACTTAGACAAAAAAGAAGAGCTAGGTTCTAGAGAATCTGAAGAATGGAGTTTAAGAGGTAGATGAGAGGAGGATAGTGACAAGGAATGGACAGAAGAAAGGTTGCAGATTTCAGTAAATGGTGATTTCAGATAAGACACTAAAATAGCTATTGTATTCTGTAGTATTCAGCATCCTATGGTGTATTTCCTTCCTTTATTTTTTTATTTTTTTGGTTTTGTTTTGTTTTTTGAGACAGGATCTCAATATGTAGTTCAAACTGGCCTTGAACTCACTTTGTAGCCTGGGCTGGCCACAAACTCACAGTGATCCTCCTGCTTCAGCCTCCCAAGTGCTGGGATTAGAGGTGTGTGCCACTATGCCTGGCCTTGTCAGAGTTTTAAACTATTTTTGACTGTGTGTTTTCTTCTCCCTTTCTTTTTCTCTCTTCTTCCCTCCCCCTCCCTTTATTTCTTTCCCTTTTCTTTCTAATAGGGATCTGTTAGGAAAATAGAATAAATTCCTTTCACTTTTCAGTTTTATTAAGATATGCTTCTAAAAATCATCTCTCCAGATTTTTGTGTGTGAATTTGATAATGTTGTTCACCATGATTCCCACAACTAATACCTGGTACCCTTCACTTATCTACTTGAAAAATCTTTATTTTTCAGTTAAAGAATATTTTTCTCATACTTTTTTTTTTTTTTTTTTTGGTACTGGGGACCGAACTTGGGACCTTGCTCTTGTGAGGCAGGTGGTGGAACCACTGAGCTAAATCTCCAGCTCCTCTCATACTTACTGTTATATTTCATTTATTATTCAAGCTACTCAACCTTGTACCTTTTTTATATGTTGTATGCTTAAACCACCCAGACCTAAGGACTTCTCAAAGAAATAAAAAAGGTTGATAAAAATGAGAAATACAGAAGTAAAGCATCTGTTAAACTCTCTGCCAAATAAATAAATAGCATCTCTTTAGGCTGTCTTGTTAGAAAAGAGTAGTCGTCTCTGAAATTCGTGAGATTTCACAAGTTTGTGGAATTTGTGTTTGCTTTTTTCTGTTTTTTTGTTTTGTTTTGTTTTTTTGGTACCAGGGATCAAACTCTGGACCTTGTGCTTGCGAGCCAGATGGCAGAACCACTGAGCTAAATTCCCATCCCTGTTGGGTTTTGTTTACCAGAAGCCTTTTCCTTCTTTTTTTCCTCTTATTTCTGAATTATGTGTTGGTATTTTGGTTAAGATTCAGTATAACCGGGCCAGGGATTTAGCTCAGTGGTTCCACCGCCTGTCTCACAAGCTCAAGGACCTGAGTTCGATCCTCAGTACAAAAAAATAAAACGAGATTCATTATAACCTCTGGCTTATGTTCTGAAAGCACTCCCCCGCCAAGTCGAGTACAAAACTTAAGGAAATTAGAAATTTCTTTTGGATTCAAGTTACTTGTTTCATAGGAAAAAAACTATAGTTTCTTAGGATAAAAAACTATAACTTAAGACTTTGAAGAGATCATGATTCATCCCCTTACCTCCTTTTCATGTCAAAACTATGTTTAGGCCAGATTATAGTTCTGAAGTTATATTTAGTCTCCTGCCAAGTGTCTTCCAATATTTGGTAACAAATAGCTCTAAAGCAGGGTCTCTAGAAGATGTACTGTGTTTACTTTATGTTATATGAAATAGTGAAAATCTGGCAGAGAAGATAAATTTGGTAAAGTTAACTATCCTCTTGGCCTGTCATCCAACTTCCTTATATCCCTTGAGAATGGTTTCATTCTGGAGCCACTTTGAGGCCTTCAAGTTATTTGTAGTCCACTTAGCATTGTCTCAAATTACTTACTCCAGGAATACTAAAAAAAGGCTACGTATAAGTCCCAGTATGGGTAATAAAGACCATGATAATTTTTGGAAGACATGGTTTAGAATCTGCAACTAGAGAAGTCTCAAAAAGCATTGGTTTCTACCAGGTAGAGAAGGAATGAAAGCAAATGATTCTTGGAAAGCAAGCAAGCAAACAAAACAATAGGAATCTTGGGGCCGGAGATTTAGCTCAGTGGCGCAGCACCTGCCTTGCAAGTGTAAGGTCCTAAGTTTGATCCTCAGTACCAAAAAAAAAAAAACAAAACTGTAGGAATCTTGCATTATTTCTCTGCTCCTTGTCCAGACTTTACCTTATGTATCCCTAAATCATGAATCATCCTATGCTTTAATATTAAGGGAAGGTGAAATTAAAATTCACCTAAAATAAGCTAGTGGATTATGCTTTGCACTATATAATCAAAACCACCAGGCTTTCAGTGGATACGTAAACATGTTTTGGTTGCTAGGTCTTTAATGGCTGTTATTTTTGGATGCTGTTCATGATCCACTTCCCAAAAGTAAGTCTGATGTGACACAGCTGAGTTCTAAATATGCTGCATGTAATTTTTTTAAAAAGATGGCTGCTGTGAAGGATGTGTTGTCTGCATTCTTATCTGAAAAGACAGGTGATAGAGTTTATTAGCTTTCTTATTTCTATTCCCCTGTTGAGATTCTTTCTCTTGAGGCCTCATCACCCTCGTGAAGAGGAACTTGGGAAAGCATTTTTTTCTACTAAAAACTCTATGGAATGTGGTAGCAGGAGTTGTTAATAGAGTGGCCTCCTGAGAATAGGTTAGTGTTGTTAAAGCAACCGTGCCCCAGATACCCTATTGGCAGAGGACTGGTGGAATCGTGTTGTATGGTTTTTTAAATGTTTCTAAGATGGCATTTTTTAAAAAACATTGTGACTGTAAAATGACTTTACCTCTATGTTATCATTAAAATAATAGAAATATGTTTTGGTGCTGAATCTGGAAAGTCTTCTAAGTTGTTTGTTTGTGGGAGGTCTCACTGTGTTGCCCAAACTGTTCTTGGGCTCATGTGATCCTTCTGCCTCAGCCTTTTGAGTGGCTGGGACTGTAGGCATGCATCAACACATCTGGCTTAGTCTTTTAAGTTTTTAATGCTTTTGGAGGCTACTTTTATTTGAAGATGGATTACAAAGATGTTTTATTATATGTGGAATCAGGTATAAATACTTTGTCAGTAATCTTGAATTGGGATTTTATTTCATGTGTATGTAGTTAGATAACTTACCTTTTTGTTGGGTTTTGCCTACTTTTTATTACCAGGAGTCAACAAATTCCATATTCCTATATTCCCTCTCAGGCGCGACACTAGTTTGCAATACAAATTATGCAAATTTAAATAGACTTTCTGAATACCATCAAGTCTTTGAGCAGAAGCTGGTCATTTCAGTTTATTACATAGAATGTCTATTTCCTAAAGAACAGGAACATATTTACACTGATGAGATACCATTTATGGACGGTTATCATCATCCTGTTGTCAGCCATTGAGAAAAGTTTGCACTCTGTATCAGCTCTGTCTTTTTATTTTTTACTTTTATTTATTTTTATTTATTGTTTTGTACCGGGGATCGAACTCGGGTCCTTGCCCTTGCGCAGCAGGCAGGGAAACCACTGAGCTAAATCCCTGGCCCTCAGCTCTGTCTTTTTAATGGAAAACACTTTGGTTGTTTTTTCGGTTTATATAACTTTAAGGGGCTGAAGATGCTACTCTCAGATCTCCCATAGGACATTTATGTACAGGTTGAAAGTCTCTTCGTATCTTTGTGAGACATGAAGCCTACAACTAACATAGACCTACAAGGCCTGCTTTTATTTTCAAAAGCCAAGAATAGAAATGGACTCCTAGTTGTGGTGGCAGCTTCTTGTACCTCCTTATCTTGTCATAGTAGGAATAATGTTTATGGTGCTGTAGTCCTGGCTTCACTTGGCATTTAACCAACCTCCAAAGCTGTTTATTGCTTCGTATCCTCTGCTTCTGTGAACATTATCCCTTAAATCTCTATTGCTCTGTAATATATGAGGCAACAAATAGCTCCTATGATTGGTTAAATGCTGGCATGCTGCAAAGGTATATGTTTTATTGCCTATATAACACAAATCTATAGAGATTATTCCTGTTATCCCAGGCCTCCCATTAAAAGCACCATACTGGTACTATGGGATTCAGGATCTTTCATTCTATCCCTTTGGCAAGTTTCCCTATTTCCTGGCAGGAGCACAAAAGAAAAGCAAAGAAGAATGAGTT